AATAAGCGCCCCAGTATCCATACAGTGCTTGCCGATTCGAAGATCTCTTCAACAAGCTGCGGCTTGACCTTCACAGGGAGGGCTCGAATAACCATGTCATTTACGATGAAGAGGCATGCCCACCCAAGCTGGAAATTTTAGATTCTCAGAATAAGCACCGCAGTTGAGGTGCGAAAATTAATAAGCGCCGCGGCGCTTATTCGAGTAAACGCACCATGAATCCGTTATATAGCCGCAGTAGACCTACTTTTCCATTTACACCAGATTTATCAGAAGTAAGAGCAAATTTCGATTCTCTTGAACTCTGGCTGGTTACCATTTTTTTTACTTCACGTCGTAATTGGTTCATTGATAACTGTGGGATTAGCCCTTAATCCTCTTACCTACCAACCGCGCTCGACTTATAAATATCCTGATGTGATTATGAAACAGTTCAGTTGACCTCAGGCCTTGCTCTTGTGAGCTCCTCTGCTCATTAAATATATAGCTTTAAATATATACTTGGCCTCCACTCTTTCTTTGGCCTCCGATAATCGCACAATAACCTTAAGTTTTTTTTTTCTCACTCAATTGAAATTTGCTGTATCACATTTGAAGACCATGCGCCTTCTTTCAACGATATGGGAGTTTTCAGTTTACCCTTCTCTTCTCAATTGGTAGTTCGAATGTTTTTTCCCTATTCTTTTTTTTTTTTTCATAACAAAGACCTGAGTTATCCTTGGTACTCAACAGCCTTGATCTACCTTTCTCGCAGAATAACGAGAACGGAGAAGACAATCAAACAGATCTGTGAGAACATAGATTGGCGTTCATATACTTGATAGGTGACGCAGTATTTGCATGGCCATTTATCACACTTCAATAGCATGAGACCCTCCGACAGGAAATTCAAAGCTAACATTTGGACAGCGGTAATTCGAACGAACGTTAATACAGGAAACAGAACAGAGACCTTGAGTGACCTTAAGCAATGTTGAGTAACCAAATGTTCCTTTTTTGGGCTGATCATCAATTTCTAGTGGTTTCCAATCTTCGTCACCGTTGAGAACACAGTTTAAAATATAAGAGTTTGTCTGTGTCAGCCATGAAAAAGGTAAGTATCAGAAGATATTGGTCAATCACGTTTGCAACCTCTGTTTATGTAGGTAAATGTAAATAAAGGTCCAAATTCTTACTTCTCAGCTGTGATCGCTGGATAGAAAGATTTCAGTTTATTACCTCTCTATTTTAAAACAAATCCTTGGCCTAGTTCTAAAGGTAATCTATTGTTTTTCTCTTGTTTTTTTTTCATCCAAGCACTGTCTGCATAACGTAGTATGGGGTTATTCGGAAATCTTGCCAGATTTAGCCAATTCAAACTTTATAGTGAAAGTGGATCACTTATTTCTGTGTTTAATTCCTTTTGATCGTCAGCCTCTCCTTGGGAATTTGTCTTTCACTCAAGGCGTTCGCCGCTTTCTGTATGCAGTGAGACCCGAAGAAGCTTCGTTTGCCAAACTTGATGACGTACCAGACTATCTGAATGAAGTAAGTACTGGAATAAATTAGTTTTTTTTGTCGACTGCAGTCTACTTACTTTATCGCAAAGCCACCAGCAGAGCTACCTCATTTTTTGTAACGAGCCTTTTTAAAGTTCATTGGATGATAATTGTTATATTTTGCAAGATAGTGTAACCTCCTTTTATTGGCATGCAAACTTGAGTTTATGTGAACGACTCTCATGAAATCTGTCACCCATGACAGCCCACATAACTGAATTTTACCTTAAAAATTGCAAATAACACAAATCAAAGGCATATTAGAGATTTAACGTTTTCCATTCTTTTAAGATGAATGGTAAAATCCAAGACTAAACTAACGCAGTAAGGCCCCTGTTTGAAAATTGAGGACCTGCTTTTTATACAGGGTACAATAGACTATGGGTGATGGTAACCATTGGAGGGGTCTTATGCACCAAAAAACTTAGAAAAGATCATATAATGGTTAAGGAAAAGCTAGATTAAATTAATGAGTTATTGACAGCTGAGGCCACTCTCGTGGCATTTGCACTGTTAGCCGATCCCTTTGTCTGTCATATTTAACTGGAAAGTTATCATTTATTTTATCTTTGTCTTATATTAGGCTGTTCCTTTCTTCCTTGGAGCTATAGCTTTGGAGTATATATTGGCTTTTCTCACCAGACTTCCACCAGCAAGGTTGAATGATGCATTCAGTTCCATTGCAGCAGGAACTTTGTCACAGTTGTCCAAGTAAAAAGATGTTTATTTGTTTGTGATATGATAGGAACTCATGTACTAAATGATGCTTAGCTGTCTCTTTCAACTTTGCTACTTTGTTTCATTTGTGTTATTTGAATACTTTATCTTTTTTTTTTTTTTTTAAATTTCAATTCCTATTGGGTGAACTATTTGACCCACATGTCCTATGATTATAAAGTTGCTAAATCTTTCCTCCAGTGGTAAATGTACACTACAAGGCAGGGTAAAAAGTATGGCCCTTAATCTGTTCTTGACAATTTGTATCTTTTCTCTTCCAACAGAATAATCATATTGAGTGCTGAACTTGCCCTTTACGTTTTCATTTTTGACAACTTTAATCTGATTACTTTGCCATGGGATTATCCTGGGACATGGTACTTTTGTTTTATTGGAGTTGATTTTATCTACTATTGGTTCCACAGAGCTGCTCACGGTAATAAAAGTATTATTTGCAAAGTTTTTTTTTTCTTATCAAGTCCTTCTGTGATATATTTGTATTACACATTATGAATAGTAAGAAAATGTTATCTTAGAATCATCAGTAATGCTTCAACCCCAGCTTATTATTTTGAAAATTCAAGTTAGACTGAGAGTAAATTTAAAATGTGACTTAAGACTTAAGAAAGAAATAATAGGATACAATGAATATATGAAGTTCATATATTTTGAACTGCGGTATTAAATACGTATGATGCACAATCCTTTGCAGTAGATAGCGCTATTTATGCAATAGCAAAAATCAGACCTGAAAAAAATCAGGCCTGTACGGGATTCGAACCACTGACCTCTGCGATACTAGTGCAGCACTCTACCAATTGAGCTAACAAGCCAACTGGGAGCAGGCCGTTAAGTTGATTCGTAATAAACCCGTGATGATAAATCAGATACAATGAANGGAGGGGTCCAAGATGTTGAAAATTAGGTCTTCAGAAACATGATTTCCAGTGTTCTGAGGGAAAATTTAGGGAGTTTGACTGAACCCCCCCTGGATCCGTCCCAGATCAACCCCTTTAAATCTGGCTGAGTGTAAATGGTACAGAGAAATTTTGCAATAAATCTAAAATTCAGAGGAGAGGCCTTTTTCTACATTATATTTTTCGTATGATGCACGATCCTTCACAGTAGATAGCGCTATTTATGCAATAGTGAAAATCAGACCTGAAAAAAATCAGGCCTGTACGGGATTCGAACCACTGACCTCTGCGATACTAGTGCAGCACTCTACCAATTGAGCTAACAAGCCAACTGGGAGCAGGCCGTTAAGTTGATTCGTAATAAACCCGTGATGATAAATCAGATACAATGAAAACTTCATATATAATATGAAGCGCTATCTACTGCGAAGGATCGTGCATCATACGAAAGAAATAATGTAGAAAAAGGCCTCTCCTCTGAATTTTAGATTTATTGCAAAATTTCTCTGTACCATTTACACTCAGCCAGATTTAAAGGGGTTGATCTGGGACGGATCCAGGGGTGGTTCAGTCAAACCCCCTAAATTTCCCCTCAGAACGCTGGAAATCATGTTTCTGAAGACCTAATTTTCAACATCTTGGACCCCTCCGGATGGGGACAATTCTCTGAACCCCCCTTGACTAAATCCTGGATCCGCCCCAGGTTGACTTCTACAGGGTTAGATGGATAAAAGCCACGAGAGGATGAGGAATTCATGAGGTGTGGAGACTATGAGAGAGGGATAGAAAAGAGCTGTTGCATGCTGATATTAAATAAAAATAGCTGATTTAAGGGATTTTGTGTGAGATAATTTTTAATGGAAAATTAATTTTTACTTTCCTTAGTCGAAGGAATTTTTGAAGGTGTGGTTGCTTGTATACATGTTGGGATACCAATTTTTTTGTAGATGATATGTTACAGGGGGGTACCATTCTGTCAGATGTGGTCTGTAAAAGGGTAAGGGCTGGAATTCAGGGCCAATAAATCCTGTTCAAGGTCATTGTGGGATGTGGCCTTGTTCACCACTTGTGTTCACGTAACTTTATGGAGTATTAATTTGTAAAATGTTAGATTGAGTCCTAAGCATGTAAACTGTTGCAGAGATCAACATCATGTGGGCAGCACATCAGGTGCATCACAGTTCTGAGGAGTACAACCTTACAACAGCTTTAAGGCAATCAGTTGTACAAAATTACACTTCTGCTGTAAGTATAGCCGGTATTTTGTGGTTATTCAATAATTATACTATCCTTAATGAAACAATTCAAATTAGTTTGGTCAGTTTGAAAGTTGCTGACTGAATGAGACACCTTACACTTTTATTCAGATGAGATAATTCATTAGTTAGCAAAAATTAGTTTTTGCTAGTGAAAGTTAATTTAAAGCTGTAATTATTGCAGATTTTTTACATGCCTTTGGCCTTAGTGGTGCCTCCTTCGATTTTCTTTGTGCATAGTCAGTTCAATATGCTTTACCAATTCTGGATTCACACAGAGGTAAGAGTTATTTTGTTATTGACTCTGTTAAAAACCAGTGCACTGAGGTGCTCATATCCATCAATCTAACAGTCAAATCAGTCATTTTATTCTTAAATTTCGAACAATGCAAAATCAAATTAACAAAAGAAAAATGAAGCAAAGGCTCGACACTAACTTTTCAACTTACTAGCCAAGTGGCTAGTGACATCTTGGATGTTACGACAATTTCAGTTTGTTTACAAGCCAAACTGGCTAGTGGAAATTGAAAACCACTAGCCAAAACTGAATTTCTACTTGTCTGTGGCTAGTGGGCTGCCTTTAGTGTTGAGCCCTGGAAGTTATGTGCTTCTTGCTTTTATAAACAGATAGTGCGCTCCCTTGGACCTCTTGAGTATATTCTGAACACTCCAAGTCATCATCGTGTGCATCATGGTAAACATAAATGTTATAGTTTTGGTTAATTACTGTCAGTTTGAATTTTGAAGCCTTTTTTTTCTTTTGATTGAGTTGCTAAAACTAAACCTCTCAAATATGATTTTATTATTAATATTTATTTTGTTACATGATGTGTTTAACCTTCATTTTTTCAGGGAGAAATCCATACTGTATTGATAAAAACTATGGTAAGTATGTTTAGACCTGAAGTTCATGCTTTAAATAATGACAGCTAGGATAAAGGAATTACTTCAAATAATGTAAAGTGTTTTTTGTTCATTGAACTTGTTGCTTTCCCCCACACCTCCCTTCCCCCACACAAAAACTTCTTCACCTGAGCAAACTTTCATAAAATTTTCTCACTGTAGCCTTGCACTGTGGAGAATTGCCAATAAAATTGATTTTCATGTATGCTTTTTTTTATTTGATGCTCAACTTTCCAACATCCAGGATTTTAAATGCTGAAATTTGAGTTCAACTGTTATTTATGACTGGAGAGAAATAGTGCAGTTGGTTAAGAAGACCAAGAAAAATACTCTACAGGATCAGGCTTCTGACACTTGTGCTTGACATAATTTTCAGCCTTATTTTGTACATTATTTCTTTTCAGGTGGCACGTTGATTATTTGGGATCGAATGTTTGGTGAGGAATTTTTATGGTTTAGATGTCTAATACTGTGTATGGCACCTGTCATGTGGTTGAGATCAAAATGTGCTCGGAAAGATACTAATTTTTTTACTTTGAAAAAAATATCTTTATTAATTAAGGGCCAGTTGCCTTCCACAATGGATGGGTTTTACTTTAGTCTGGTTTAGGACTTATACATAGCTATCTTTTTGAAGTCATTTATGGTTTGAAATGAAATCTTAGGAACATTTCAAGCTGAAACAGATGAAGAAATAGCCTATGGTCTGGTTCATCCATTGGCCAGTTGGGATCCCATTTGGACTCAGGTTAGAACTCTGACTGGTACCAAACATTTAAGTAGAACAAGCAGCACATGATTTGACCAGTGGGGCCAATTGGCACATCTAATAAATTCATCAGCTGTATGTTCTGTTTCCCATTAGCTTTGTCACTTCTGTCATATTTGGAAAACATTTTGGGAAACACCAGGACTTAAAGACAAGGTAAGCACAAAAGACACAATACTACTGAAGAGTACTTCTTGTGCCCTCGTGGATATTCCACGAACTTACTGTTCCAGTTTAGATTTGAAATTAATGAAAAATAATTCTTTAAATGGCCAGGCATTTGTAATTATAATTTATAGTAATGACACATTATTTTAAATATTGCTCCTAGAGTCTCTTTTTCCCTTTGATTAGATAGACAAAGGTTGGTTCTGCATGCAAGTCAAATGGCTCACATCACCTGAACTTGATATCCTAGTATCTGAGGAACAACATGCCTGGGAGTACTGACAC